ACATTTCTATGCAGCAGCATATAATGTTGGTGGATAGAACGTGCTATGAGATTATTCAGTTATTGATCAGCCTTTGCTCACTGTAGATCCCTGGGTGTCAATTTTGTCTTCCACATAAAATCAACTTTCCATTATGCTTCCATTGCTTAACATTCATGCTAGTAATATATTCGTATCAGCTATTGCACAACATCAGTTGAACCTGACACCACGGTATGCTGTAGAGCAAATAATTACAAGATCATTCTGTTCATCACATGAAAGCTCATTTTAGCTCTGTATGAACGTGATGCGTTCTTGTGCGTATGGTCAACAGATCTGATTGTAACTTTATTTCAGGGCCGTATTTGCATTTTTTGTTCATTTAGACTATCAGCGTTATTTTTTAATATATATATATAATGCCCCTTTGTTTAAGTGTATGTAGTTGCATGCAGCTTTGTGTGCAGCCATTGTTTCAGCTGGCGTCTTATTGCTATGCATCGACACGTCCTCTGAAGTGAGTTTATGCCTTAAAGTGGTGAAAAGTTTTGTACCTCATTTAAAATTTTAGTCATATTTAAAAACTATTTTGTAGTGCAGAATGTGTGTGAATGTCTGATTTTGAAGTTATTGATTTCTGTATTTTGTCATCAGAAATTCATGTATTTAAATGATAAGAGGGGAGCTGTTTTGTTTTTGTTGTCGTGAGAGCGTTTGAGCAAATCAACATCTCAGTGTTTTTTTTTTTTGTGTGGAAGGTGAAGCTAGTGTACCTGTTATGATGAAGGCATTATTTTAATTACTGTAAACAGTGGCTGACTCTGAACTTTTATAAAGAATATCTCTTTGGATTTGAGACTTTAGTCTTTGCAACTTTACAGATCTTCTTTATGCACCAAGAGCTTGAAACACTCCAAAGAGAAAGGAACAATTGAAATCGCATCATATGACCCCTTTAATCTCACACCAGCTCTGTTCATATGTAGAGACGTGTTTGTTTATGCTCACAATAGATTCACAAACCATCGAGCTCTTATGTGTCGTTTACAATATTACAACTTAACTATTTGAAGACAACTCCAACAGTCCATCAACTACAGAATGATGGCAATATCCCCTGATTTCTACTAATGGTGTGAATCAATAAAGGTGTCACTGGCGCTGTGAATCATTTCAGGAGTCGACTCAATCGAATCACATTTCCTGAGTAAAGCTCTTTGTCATTTTAAAGGTACAGCGACATTAGTTTATATCCACGTTTTCTGTATAACGTATTTTAAATAAATATAGAGATGCTATATACCAATATTTAATTCATTGTATACAAAAGTGCGCTGCAATCTTGGTAACAATTTCTTCGTTTAACAATTTATTCTTTATATAACAATGTATAACACTATTCTTTTAAAAAAGTTGAATCTTCAAAAGCATAAAGGCACTTATTTATTTGTCATATTTAATATATTGTTTTAATATTGAAAAAAATAGCTTTGTAACAGTATATACACTAATCTAAAGATCGAACGCACCCATTTATTTACTTAAAATACATAAATGCATACTATTTATATATTTATATAACATGCTTTTATGTATATTAAGTAAAATACATCTTTAAAGATGCTTCAAAAGTATAGCAATATATAATACACCAATCTTTAAACGTTTGTTTATTTATTTATTTATTATTGTTTGTTTATTTTAAAGGACTTTCATTTTGAAGCTTTATTTCTGGGGCATTCCCGTAATCTTCACATCGCGCACACCCAACTGTGTGTGTGTGTGTGTATGTGTATGAGTGTGTGTATGAGTGTGTGTGTGTGTGTGTGTGTGTGTGTGTAT